TTCAGGATGCTATAGCTCCTTTCTGGGCCAGAGGCATGGCCCAGGCCATGTTCTGAGGAGTCTGCAGTCCTAAGGCTCCAGCTGCTGGCTTTACAAGCAGCTGGCTGTGAGGAGGGGTTACCCCAGGGACCCCCAGACTTGTTAATGTCTAACTAGCTTCCTCAAGGTATCAAGATCTGAAACTCTAAGACCACTCAGTTGCCACTGAGCTGTTGCAGCTGCTTTGGCCCGAATTTGAGGTTAAATGAACTTAGAGTCTCTCCACTCTGCACACTTCTGGCCTCTGGAGGCCCTCAGGGAGCCAGGCAGAGGTGTAGACTGAAGAACCGTTTGACAGTGAGCCGAGTGTGACTGGGAGGAGATAATGTTAAGGCAGAAGTTGAACACACCTTCCCAAGACCAGTGGGATCACGCCGACATGACAACCCATCCCGCCCCCACCCTGGTCTGAGATCCGGCTCATAGCTGTTCGCCATGAGGGTGCCTCACGGGCTTTGAGTGTGACGTTTGCAGTTCGCAAGAGCAGATGAAACAGCTGCCTTGCTGCGAGCGCCTTCACAGCGTTCAGCACTGGCAACACCGCAGAAGGCCTAGAGCAGCTTTTTATCTTTAGTATTTTTATCTTTTATTTCTGTAGAGCTGTATCTACCTCCTTGAAAACATGTGCGTGCATGCTTGCATGTACGTGGTGTCTACCTGCTGGTGTGTGTGTGTGTGTGTGTGTGTGTGTGTGTGTGTCTGTCTTTTTATTTAACAGGTGATTGGTGGGTGCCCCCGCTGACCCCCTTGAAAAGGACAGCCACCATGGAAGCCCAGACGCGAGGGAAGCAAGGAGTCTACAGACTCAGCAGCTGTCTTGTGTTCTGTCTTGGGTACACTCAGCAGCACATGAGGAGAGAGTTCTCATCTTGAGTTCGCAGCGTAGAAACAAAAGTCTAGGCCCAAACTAACAGACACAGACACGGCTTGTTAACAAGGAGGGACAGACATAACCACTGGCGTGTCTGTTTCTTTGAGCAGGTACCTATGTCCTTCAAGATCCATGGGAGATGCTGCCTCTAGAGAAGTAGTTTTAACCCGGGGTCACCATGGCCATTGGAAAGCACAGAGAGTTCCATGATTCACAACAGGAACAAGATGGCAGTTATGAAGCAGCACTTCATTTTAGGCTTGGGGTCACAGCGCATGAGGAACTGTATTAAAGGCATTTGGAAGGTTGAGGGAGCTGCTCTAGAAGGTCCAGAGTTAGAGTTCGACTTGGGATCAAAATTCCGGCTACCGTTTTCCGGAATGTGGTGGCCCCATGGGAACACTCAGCTGAGTTCAGTGCTCAGCTGCACAAACTGGGTTACAAGCCTGTCTTCCCAGCTGAGGTTGAGTCAGAAAGACCCGTTCAGGGTCACCTTTGGTTACATGTGAAGTTTGAGGCCAACCTGGGAGACATGAAATGCTGTCTACAACAAACAGAAGGGTATAAATCAGACATGTCCGTGGTGTTCCCTAAAACCAAGCAAAGGGGGCTTTCCGGGGCACGAGTTCTGTTGCTTTGTCAGTGTGATGGACAAGGACACGGAGGGTATTTAGTTTGACGCCAGATTAAACATTATCAAATGGCCTCAAAAAATAACATCAATGAAATAAAAAGTCATTTATTTCAGGGGATGATAATAATAATAATAAACACATAATAAATAATAACAAAAATAAAAATAATGAAGTGGAGAGAGGTAAGGCCAGAAGCCGGTGTGCCCTCTCTCAGAGGGAAGGGATCTGTGTCTGGGTGAGCAAGGCATCTGCCGGCTCTGGGGCACCCAGCCTCCCGAACCTATCGTGGTCCCTGACTCACGGCTTCACACGGCCTCGCACATAAACTGTCACCCAAGCCTCCATGATGTTACAGGCGAGACATAGATACTACCCTGTGGGTTTCACTCCTCTGTGTCTCGGCATGGCTGGCATTGCTCCTGAGCCGGGGAGGGAAGGGCCTCATCACCCTGCCGGGCTATCATTTCCTGAAGTGTGTGCGCCAGGGCAGTGCTGAAGGGACATGCATTCTGGGTGTCAGCTAAACTGAGATCATACTGACGCACAAAACCTGCAAGACTGGCTGTTAGCGTTTGCCCTGTGTGGCCTGTGGGGTTTGGGGGGAGGGCAGGTGTCTGCCACTGAATCCTGGGTAAGGCTGCCGGTTAGAATAGAGCCGCTCACTGGGTAAAGAGTGGTTAGTTGAAGAGGAGGCTTGGGGTGCGGATGGTGAGCAGGCTGCTTTGCAACTGCAGCCCTCGCTGAGGGCCGGCTCCTGAAGCTGGAGGTGGGGCCGAGGAAGTTTTCACCGAACTGCTGTCATCCAGCGGCTGTGGGCACCCCACAGGGCTCTACAGGACTTGGGAAGTTCTGGCTTTTCAAGAGCCTGAAGCCTCCTACTTAGATTTTAGATGCTGGGTCTCCATTAATCCATGTCAGTTCAGTCTTTTCCGCACATGCACGTGCATGCGTACGTGTACACACACACACACACACACACACACACACACACACACACACGCACACACTTCTGTTTTGAGCAGGACTCACACCGTGTCTCTTCTGAGTGCCCTGCATCATGCTTGTCCTGCTTCTGCAGCAGCTTGTTTACAGTGATCGCGTAGTGTGTGATTACAGTACTTTCCCGGGAGATCTGTTAGCGGAGCTCCCCCCACACTCGCAGAAGTGACGTTAGGTTGTGTAGCTGGTGGTAAGAGCAGCCCGGCAGGACCACTGTGCGCCTTGTGACTCTTGTCCAGGCACTGTCCTCTGTGGTAACTTCCCACCCCAGCCTGCCCAGGCCTGCTCAGGGCTGGGACCTGGCATAAATGGCACTCCTAAACTTTGTAGTTTTCCACTATTTTGTTGTTAGAATAAATTTAGGGCTTTGTGGATTTGGTCACTGACCTGGGCCTAATGTTTGGTCGAATATAATGAACACCATCAATTTCTGTTCTTTAGGGAGGCAGACTCTTGGACATCTTTATTTAAAATGTTTTCAGAATAATAATAACCATAACTATCCTTATTTGGTGAACAGTTTGCATATTTCTGAATTCCTGATTCCTGCCTGTGAATCAGCCAGATGTTCTGTGGGTTGATGTTTTTGTTCAGCTTAGTTACTGACTTATTTTCTGAAATTAAAAAAGATTGTTTATGGAATTCTCCAGTGTCCCCTTCTTTTGTTGTCTCCTGGAACTTTAAATTAAAATCATTATTCTTCATAATTCCTTTACAGAGCTAAGCATTTCCTGTCTCTTCTCCTGGGCTGAACCAAAGCACATAATTTTTTTTTTTTTTTTGTAATGTTTTACCCAATATTACTCTTTTCTTTTTCCTTTGTTGGTGCTGGGATTTGAACCCAGAACTGTGTGCATGTAAGACACGCGCTCTGCCTCTGGACTGTACCCCCTGTGCATGCTGCTTTTTTAAAGGCAAGACTGCTTCCTCCCAAGGCTGTGGTTAGGCTTTGCCTGTCATTTTTAGCTGTTCTCGTTAATGTTGACCGACTCAGGGAGAGGAGCTTGACGTAGCCCTGCTCACAGATTCCCATCTGCTTGTGCTGCTTGTGCTCCTGGCGTCGCAGTGCGAAGCTCCCGGTGGTGCTGGCTTCAGACCGACCACACCCTTGGGCACAGAGCACTCCTTCAGTATCGTTTACTGACGGGGAGTTTGAGTTAGTTTTTTAAATTGATCCAGGAGCCCCACGGGGGGGCACCTTAGGACAAATAGAACATCAGTTGGCCTGTGTATCTGTATTACGTTCTCCTGACCTTAGACTTTGGCTCCACTAACTATGGGAGCCTGACGTTGCCAATATTCAGGAGGTTAGGGCACTTTTGACCCAACTTCAGCTCGACATTGAAGTCTTGTTCTGTGTATGTGTTGGTCAGGGAAGTGAGGGCGGGTCAGCTCCGGCCACTGCAGTGTTTCCCCGCTCTCCCTGTGGCACCTCTGGAAGCATGCTTACGGACTTCTGTGGAGACATCTCCCCCCTGCCCGCCATGTACCCCTTATGCTCTTATGCTTATGTTTTCACCTTTGAAGACCTCGCCTCAAGCGTAGGCTCCTCTGCAATGCTGCCTGAAGCTGGGTTGCTCTTTGTCCTTGGTTAGCAAGCCGTATTCATTTGAAATCTCTGATTTCTCGTTTCATGCTTGCGGAGGAGGCTGAAGGTTTGTGGTAAGAAGGATCTTCTGTTTCTCTTAGGGGCACTCACGGTAGGCGCACAGTGAGCCTTCACAAACATTTCGGTGCAAGCGTTGCTAATAGGTACCTTTTATACGGTGATTCCAGCAGGTGACATTTAATATGTGCATGCCATGGATTTCCTTCTTAACTGATGTATCAGGGAATCGGAACTCTAATTACTTATCTTTGGTTGCTCAGTATTTTCGTAAGTCTTATGGATACACTAATTTGACAAGTTATTTTAAATTTAATTTCTATTTTTCTTCATTGTCCTGCACACACTTGACCTGTTTCAAGTTTGACTCTTAAGGATGTCGTGGTAACCTGGAAGGGCACCCTAGGGTTAAGCTGGCCTTTCCTTTCTGTCCTGAGCTGCATCTCGCTGCTGTGTTATACTTGCTCCTTCATTCATCATGTGCTTACAGCTTATCATTGATGATAGCATTATGTCTGTGTGCCCTTGATTTTGACAGTTTCCCCTCATACAGAGAATATGAATCTGTGTCTGCAGCGAGTGTACATTCATGCAGGAGTGATAGCCCCAGCAGCCGTCTATTCTAATTCTCCCTCACCAGTGTCCAGCAATGCCACTCACCCAAAACTTGGTTTTGATGAGGTTATGATGATATTCATGGCTTATCGAGCTGAAAAATGTTTAATGCAACAAAAAGTACAAGATTAGCATCTAGGGCAGATCATTGTTTTATAAAATAGCTCCAGGTCCTATCTTTTGTTAAAGCAGTAAGTTGTTACAAACCTAAAATGCACGTTGGTGTTGATTTCAGGAATCCAACCTCTTGAGTCCAGTGCAGGATGGCACAAAGACACCTCAGATCGACAGCAACAAAGGGAACAACTACCGGATCGTCAAGGAGGTGGGCAGCTGAGACCGTTCCGTCTGCGGTCACGTGCGTCGCTTTTCCTTGTGTGTTCCGGTGCCGGCTTAACGCATGCTTCGTCCTTTCACAGATCCTGAGCAGGCTGAGCAGGCTGTGTGTGCAGAACAAGAAGTGTCGCAGCCAGCACCAACGCTTGCTGAAGAACATGGGCGCTCATGCTGTGGTGCTGGACCTTCTGCAGATCCCCTACGAAAAGGTCCGTCGCTCTGCAGTTGGCTGTTGTTTGGAATGTACCGGCAGGCCGTAGAGAGCTTTCTCCTTTCTTAGCTGGTTAAGAGGAAGCTCCCCCACAAATGCCCAGCGTCCCTGGCTCTTTCCTGTTTTCCTGTGCACAGGGGTATGCTTTTCTGCAGCCCTGCCTTAGCCTTGCAAGCTAGGAAGAAGGGTGACAAATTGTCACCTGGTCCCACACACCATGCAGGCCCACGCCATGCCCCGTTGACAAAGTATCTGCTTTAGAAGCGTGCAGCCTCAGGGCTTGGTTGTCCTGTGTGCTTATCTCTCAGTCCTGAGCTGTCTCGGAGTGACAGTTATTTAGAGGAGAGCCTCCCCTTCCTCCTGTGCTGGGAACACGGAAGGATGCTAGGTTTGCACAGGGCTTCCTCACAGGTGCATGCAACTCAGATTTGCGCTGAGGCAGTGGTATGTCTGCCAGGCTCTCCACTGTGAAGGGCAGTGAGTAACTCCTCTGTGCGAAGGGTCTGTTGAAAATACCTCATCCTTCATTGGACTTGTAATTCATGTTTTTGTTAGCATTGGCGGGTAATCAGAAAGTTTGGGAGAAAGAAGGAGAGGGGTTGTGTAACAAGGAAAGGAAGAGTGGAGCAGACAGACAGGAGAAATCAAGAGGCGGTGAGAAATATCTAGAGCATAGAGCCAAGAGGGGACGGGGCAGATGAAATGTGTAGACACAGAGGGCACGAAGGAAGGAGGGGCTGCAGAGGAAAGCGTCCGTGCTCAGGGATGCAGTTTTGTGTAAACCTGTCCTGTGTTTCTTGGTGTCACATCTGGCCCTTTAACCTACAGAATGATGAGAAGATGAATGAGGTGATGGAGTTAGCCCACGCCTTCCTGCAGAACTTCTGCCGGGGGAATCCACAGAACCAAGCTCTCCTTCACAAGCATCTCAATTTGTTCCTGACTCCTGGAGTGAGTACCGTGCTGACCCCTAATGTTTGCCAGGTGTGCAGTAGTGGGAACAGAGTCTCACTGACCTTTGTACACTGTTTCCCTCTTATTCCGATTCACTCCATAAAATGAGTGTTTCCGAAGTCTTTAAGTAATTTGAAAGTTTAGACAAATTTCATCCGGCAGTGGCAGTGGCAGTGGCAGTTTTATTTCTTATATATGAGTTGATGTTAGAGCAAGGAACTGGTTTGATGATAGCATGATGAAGATAAGCGTGAGTTCTGGCATATAGCTCAGAGCTGGATGGCAGAGACGGGAGGGTCCCTGAGGCCTGCCGGCCAGGCAGTGTAGCTGGAATAAGTTTTAGGTTCAGCAGGAGACTTGACCTCAAGGGAGCAACCTGGGGAGCGACAGAGGAGCACAGCCATCCTGCTCTGGTTTCTGCATGTGTGTACGGCAAGCCCACGTGCGCATACCACATTCACGTGGAGTGATAAAAAGTTCACGAGCAGATCTCAGGGAAGAGCTCCGTTGGGATAGTGGATGAAGTGTCGGAAAGAACACGGCTGCCAGTGCACTTGCTGACTTCCTTTCTGCGGCGGAGGCCGATAGTGAGCAGAGTTCTCTCTGTGTCTGGCTGTCACACCAGACAGCCTTGGCAGCTCCTGGTGGCTTCACAGAAGCCGACTGTAGGCAGGGGGTGTAAACGCCCTAGAGTAGAAGGTGGTCTCTTCGCGGTCACAAGCTGTGCTCCTCTGCTCAGCTCCTCGAAGCAGAGACCATGCGGCACATCTTCATGAGCAATTACCACCTGTGCAACGAGATCAGCGAGAGGGTCGTCCAGCACTTCGTGCACTGTATCGAGACTCACGGCCGCCATGTGGAGTACCTGCGCTTCCTGCAGACCATCGTGAAGGCCGACGGCAAGTACGTGAAGAAGTGCCAGGATATGGTGATGACCGAGGTAGGTTCTCAGTGTGCACCTCACCAGCCTCACATAAGCTGTGCTCCGAGATGATGGAGAAGGACCTCGCCAAACTGTGCCTGGAAGCCATTGGCTTTCACTGTGACACTTAAGTTGTCATTTTACACTGGTGCAGTGAAGTAAATCATGACAACATGACTTCATAATTTTCTTAGAGTTTTTTCTTTTGATATGTAACGAATCTGGGTCTGTTATATAATGGATGTTTTTTGTTTGTTTGTTTGTTTGTCTTTTTGACCTTAAAGATATTGTGTGTGTGCATGTGGATATATCTGTGTGCTCACCGTGTACATGTAGGTGCCTGTGGAGGCCAGTAGAGGGAGCTGTATCCCCTGGAACTGGAGTTACACATATGAGCTACCTGAGAAGGATGCTGGGAATTGAACCAGGTTCTCTGCAAAAGCAACAAGTGCTTTTAACCATTGAGCCATCTCTTCAGCTCCTATAATGGATGAAATCTTATGCAATCACAAGATGGTGTTGAATTAACACAATTTTCTTATTTTTAAACTTTTAGTAACAACAGAGTGATGGAGCCCTGATGGCTCCTGCTCTCTTTCTGAGTTACAGTGGAGTGTTCTCTGCCACTGCGATGGTCTTGAAGGACACCACATGAGTTAATAAGATGGGATTGTCAGGGCTTTTTTAGAACAGTGGGAACTGGGTATTTTAAGTGAGGTAAGAGTGTGAGAAACGTGCCTGCGCTCCTTCAGGCGTTGTGCTCTGCTTTGGAAGAGGTTGATATGGGCAGCGAGGCAGTTTCCACCCCCAGCTGCAAGCCTGGTACCCGGGAGATCACGGTGGTCAGGGGAGATTTCCATCGTCATACAGCTCCAGTGAGAGATGGGATGTCTCCATGCTGATTCCGTGTACCACCTAGAAAGCTTAAAAGTCCATCCAGCATAAGGCCTTGAACGTCTGTCTATGAATTATCGTAAAAGTGCCAAGAGCATTGTAAAGTTATACAGTCCACTGTTTAAAAAGCCTGTGTTGGAGCCGGGGAGCTGGCTCAGTCAGTAAGGTGCTGCTGCCTGAGTGTGAGGACCTTGGTTTGGCCCCAGCGCCCATGTAAGAGCTGGGCCCGGTGACGCACCCCTGTAGCCCCATTCTGGGAGAGGCAGAGCAGAATGACCCAGGGCCTGGCCGGCATCCAGTCTCACCGAGTCAGCGGGCTCCAGGGCCGCTGAGAGACCTTATCTCAGAACTAGGGGGGTGATTGCGTACAATGCTTATTGTCGGCCTGCAAGCACACAGTGACCACGCAGCTGCACACATACATTTTCACGAACACACACTCACAAAGCACATGTCTGGAGCACACTAGTTCTTCATTGCCTAAAAATATATCGGAACTAGTTTGACTTTGGAATCTGATTGTCCAGGTAAGGCTCAGATAGAAAAAGAAATGCACAGACACCTCCATGGCATTTATTAAAAGAAATGCTGCTGTGTGTAAGGGAAATGTATAACATTGTGTTAAGACTTAGCCACACCTGGGTACATACATTCTCCCTTTGCTACAGGACTGTCAAGGGGAGCCAATCAGTTAATTGGCTTATTGTTTTAAATGTTACCAATTTAAATATAATAACCAAACTAAAATGTATAAATTATGTGTAACCTGACCAAATATCTCATATCAGGGCTGAAAAATTGGTATCTGTGATAAATAATAGATATAGCATGGTAAATGAAATTTGCTGTCTTACATCCTCCAGCAAAGTACGAAGGGCGGTCATGTCCTGAGTGCCCCACCTGATCATTTCCTCGCCCTCTCAGTTCTCTGGTCTAGTCATTGATGTCTTCCCATTAAATGAGTTTTCTAGATTTTATAATGTTGTATGTACTTGAAGCAATGCACAATTAGTTACTTATATACATTGATTACTAGTGAGGTGAATACTTTAACATTTTATTGTCCACCTTTTTATGATTCATTTTATTTTTGATGTGTATATAAGCATGTCCATCTGTGGGTATTTGCACGTGAATGCACTGCCTGCAGAGGCCAGAAGAGGGCGTCAGATCCTCGGGTCCTTTGCAGGAGCAGGGAGTGCTCCTAACTCCTAAATCATCTCTCTAGTCCCCCGCTTGTCTAGTTTAGTGAAAACAGACTGAGGAGGTCAGATGCTTTGGCTCTCCTGGTGCTGAGATTACAGGTGTGCCCCACCAGGCCTGGCTGTGTCTGCTGCCTGGCTTCAGCAGCATCACCAGCTGTGCACTTGGCATTTGATTCTCACCTTTCCCTCCTCCTGCCCGCATGAGGCCCTGCAGGATCGCCTGTGCCTGCCTGCAGGTGAGTGAAGCCGGCAGAGGTCTGCTATGTGGGGTCTTTTCTTCGTTTCAGTTGATCAATGGGGGTGAAGACGTGCTGGTGTTTTACAACGACAGAGCCTCGTTCCCCATCCTCCTCAACATGATGTGCTCCGAGAGAGCCCGCGGGGATGAGCACGGGCCCCTGGCCTACCACATCACCCTGGTGGAGCTGCTGGCCGCGTGCACGGAGGGGAAGAATGTGTACACTGAGATCAAGTGTAACTCCCTGCTGCCCCTGGAGGACATCGTGAGGGTGGTCACGCATGAGGACTGCATCCCTGAGGTCAGCTCCACCTGATGGCACACCCCTCCCCGAGTACTAGGACCACAGCTCATGTTTACTAGAAGAATTAACTGTACTTAGCTATGTAGTTAGCATCGTGGAAGAGCACAGCAGTGCCCAGGTTTTCTTTGCATGGAAGGAAGGCAGCCCCTTGGCTGGGAACTACAGATGCCTCTTAAGGTCTGCCCGTGGTAGTGGGCTTGCAGATGTCTCTCTTGTAGGTTCTGAGCTTGGAGCAGGGGGCTCGCTGGCGGATCAGCCGTCGATTAGAGAGCCTGGCCTGGTGCTTCGGAGGTTCACGTTAGCCTCTGTGGGTCCAGCTGGTACAGAATGCATGTCTTCCTGAGAGCTGGCCACACCCTCTCTCAGCCTCTTCTGCTTCTATGATTGGGGGGAAATGCCTTATCAGCGGACAGTAACCCACTGAGATCAGTGAGGCGTCCAGACTCGAGAGATTTTAGTCCCTGTTCCAGTTGCTCTGGGCCGTGGCTACACAGTAGTGGACAGAAGGAATATTTTTGTGGGTCGTTAGCGCCTCAGGGTCCTTCATGCCTTGGCAGGTGGGTGAGGTTGAGGGGAGGAAATCCATGGGTGTGGTCCTCTTCAGAGGTCCTGGTCTTGGCCACGCCTGAGTCCACGATTGGCCCTTTCCAAGGACTCTGATTTTCCTGTGTTGGATGGAGTGATTCCACCTCACACCTTCATGAGGGTCTGGTGGCTTCACTTCTGAGAGTCGGTTCTCTGGCTGCAGACGCGGCCATGCATGTCTCTAGCAGAAAGTTGGCTATGTGACTTGTGTTAGCTCTCATGCCTTCCCCCAAGGGGACCAGCTTGGAGGGTAATGGCTAGGCATGGCTTCAGTCATCATCTGGGCTTCTCAGGCAGAGCAGACCTGTCTCCAGTGAGCTCATCAGTGACCGGGCTCATTAGCCACCGTTTCCTAATTGTGTGACTGACTGCAGTCACCACTTAACGTTTACAGCACTCACTTTCCACAGTCTTAAAGTAAAATGTCACTGCCCCTGCCTGCTAGGACTGTTAGAGGGTGAAATTCAGTAAGCAGAGCACGGGAAAGGCTGAGGTGTTTCACGCGTGGTGAACACTGAGCCCTAGCTGCTGTGGACACGCCCTGTGGAGACCAGCCTTGGCACAGGCACCTGCCATGGAGGACTGTTTTTCTAGACTTCGGTGGAGCACTGGGAAGGCGTACAGGCAGGAGCGTGTACCCTTGTTCTGCATGGCCCTGCTCAGAGTCTCGAGCCCTGCAGTGACTCGATGCACACAGCCTTTCCTTTTGAGATCTTCTGACTTCTGAGCCCTCCACGGCTCAAGGGCGATAGGCTTGCCCTGAGTGGAGTTATCATGGTCACAGGCCTCTCTGGGCACAGGGGAGTGGGGTGCTGGAACGCAGGCCTTCCGGGCCGGTGTGGAGCCGCTGCTGAAGAAGGCAGACTGCTCCCGGACAAACGGCCTTCTGTGCCAGGAGCCGCTGCACGTGGCATTTAGTGTTCCAGAGCAGAAGGCGATCGTGAGAAATGAAGCTCGCTTTTGTGCTTGAAACTTTCCAGGTCAAGATTGCATATGTGAACTTTGTCAACCACTGTTATGTCGACACCGAGGTGGAGATGAAAGAGATCTACACAAGTAACCACATCTGGAGGCTGTTTGAGAACTTCCTGGTGGATATGGCAAGAGTAAGTCGGGCACCCTCCCTGCGGGCAAGGCCACGGCGTTGACTGGCCGGGTTTGATCGAGCAGTAAATATCTAGAGGAGATTTCGTAGTTAGCCCAACTACGTTTTGATTCATCTGTTGTTATCATGAAGTTAGGAATGATGCCAGGAGATCATGAGTGATGCTTAGAGAGACAACGTGAACAGACTAGCTGGTGTGGCCTGCTTAGTTTGTGCCTTTATAAATGACCACGTTTGCCTGTTACTAAGTGGGATTTTCGGAGCCTTGCTGCACGGTGAGAGGGACATTTGGCAGAGGCCATTTTCTGCTCAACCTCTTGCTGAGAATGCAGTTAAGGCCACAGATGGAGGAGGTCTCTGGCCTAGAAAGGACCCTGACGACTTTTCTGGGTTCCCCACAGCCCCATGACAGTCTTCCTGGTCTGATAATTCGATCGTCTGACTTTTCACATATGTCCCCAGATCACGTTCACTTTTACTCTGAGTCTCCTTTTATGCTTCCTTTTTTGAAATTGGAAGGTGGCAGGTGCCGGTGGGTGGCGTTTTACAGCTGCTGTCTGGCATGTGCTTGTCAGGAAGACGAGCAGCCATGAGAAAAGGGTACCGTTTGCTTTCCTGCGTTTCCCCTTCTGCATAATGAGTCATCATTAATGCACGAGGACCTTTTCTTTTACATTTTTTCAAACAAGGCTTCATTCCATAGCATAGGTTGGCCTGGAGTAGTCCAGGCTAGCCTCAAGCTCATCCTGCCTCAGCCTCCCAAGTGTTGGGATTACAGGTGTGAGGCACCATACCCAGCTCTATCATTTTAGTTCCAAGGTAATAATCTTTATTTTCTCCTTAAAAGTGACAGGGTGTGAGATTTGAATAGGGTCTTCACTAGGAAAGGTGGTGTGTCCATAGCGCCTTAGACCCCCCTGTCATTTAAGGCTCCAGTTCCGTGCGTGGGCCCTCCTGTTTGCCCAGTGCCAGCAGCTTACACAGGCTTCATCTGGATGTGTGGGGACGGGGGTCAGGGAGACCCTGGAATGGTTGCTGCCTGTTGCTGGTAATTCATGGCCGCACTTTGCTCACTCTGGAGGAAGGATGGCGGGGTACATACCCTGGGACTCGCACTGTAAACTCGGGCGCTCAAGAACACCCCTGGATGCACAGTGGATCGTGTGCTCTTCTGGGCTGGAAGTTTTCCTACTCAGTCAAGGTTTCCAGGCAAAATGTGTTTCCTTTGCTTTTGGTGTGTGTGAGTGAGTTCTTCACTATGTTAAGGTACATACACAGTGAGAGCATTCCTGTTTCACATAATTTTTGTGTGATCAGCTAGAAGTGTCGATGTCCTTTCTTAGGGACGTCCCAGCTAGAGAAACCATCCCATTTCCCCCACAGTTAGCACACATCATTGGTTTATTGCCCCTGGCCTGTGGAAACCTTGTCTCCGACCAGCTCCCAAGTGAGTCCTTGAAGCAAAGGATAATTTCTGGGCTGATGACTGAGCTTAAAATTGCCCGTGCAGGAAGACGCTTAGAGAGATTACAGACAGCTGTGGGGCTGCCTGGTGCCACTGACTGCAGAGAAGCCTGGGAGAGACCAAGGCCACGGTTGGTTGCCGCATCACAGGGCATACAGCTAAAGTGGATTTGATGTTTTTAAAACCAAAGACAGCCAGTAGTAACTGCCTGACCCAGCTGCCCTTGGAAACACTTTCCATTTACGGGATTGAGAGGCTGTGCACGCTTTGTTTCACTGCGTTTGCGTAAGTGGATGATTCGTGTTGTTTATTACGTAAAGGCTGCAGGAGACTTCCTGGAATCCCTGCTGTCTGCTCTGAGCTTCCCCTTGAGGCTGAGCTGGCTCCAGACACCTTCCTTCCTCAGGGATTCTTCTTTGTCCTGCAGAGCAGGGTCTCCCCTTCTGCCTCTGCAGAGAGGTGAAGGAGCTGTTGAAGATGCCCACAAGCTGGGAACAGAAACCACGAGGGCAGCCTGCGGGACAGCTCCCCATGCAGACTGCTGGGCCCTGCTCCCCGGAGTCTCTGACTTGGCACTTGGGAGACAAGACATTTGGAACAAGTCTTAGGTGACACCACATCATTGGTCCTGGGGCTACCCTAGAAAGCCGAGAGTAGGGATTTCGGTGGAATTACTCAGACCAGGGCTCAGCTCCACACTCTGCCATCCTCCCACTGGCTTGCTTATGCTGGGAAAGGTACTGGAAGCATTCTGCCTGAGTTTCCTAACAATAAGTACACCCGCCTGGGCAGGGGCCGTGGGCAGAGATGGTGAGGTAATACACAGCAAGCTCTTAGTACATACTGCACTTTGCAAAGGGCCTGGTGACATTATGTCATTTCCAGGATTATCACAGGCCTATAAGAAGCCTTTTGGGCCGTTTCCGAGCTTCCCCGAGGGCTAAGTGATATTGATGACATAATGACATTGAGAGTGGGGAAAGAGGCTCCTCACACAGGCTAGAGCCAGACAGACACTGCTGGGCGTGCCGGAAGCTGTGCACACATGACGCCAGGCCTGACAGGTGCTAGACGTGTGTGAGGCCAGGTGTCCTAATTAGGGCTTCTGTTGCCGTGAAGAGGCAGCCCTTATAGAGGAAAACTTCTCACTGGGGCTGGCTTACAGGTCAGAGCTTTAACCCATGGTTGTCCTGGCGGGAAGCATGGCAGTGCAGAGGCAGACATGGTTCAGGGGGAAGCTGAGAGTTCAATATCCTGATCAGCAGGCGGCAGGAAAAGAGAGAGACGCTGGGCCTGGCCCAAAAGCTCTAGCCCAGTGACACACTTCCTCCAGTAAGGCCACGCCTCCTCCAAATAGTGCCACTTCCTATGACCCTGTGGAGGCCATTTACAGTCATACCACCATGCCAGGCATGCACGACGTCAGGCACGTGTGAATCCAGATGCCTCGAAGCCTGTGCACACACATGACTTGATATAAACTTGCAGAGGGAGGGAATCAGCCTCAGGTGCCGACAGCCAACTTTTAACGCCCTGGAGCAACTGATGACGTCAGAGAGGAGGAGGAGATGAGCTTCTGTAAGGTGGGCTGAGGGCACCCAGCAGGGCAGGGGTGAAGGAGGCGAGTGGTCAGAGCTTGCAACCTGATGTCCTGTTCTTGGTTCTCAGTGTCTGCCTAGATATTTCCAATAACTATATTTACATGTTTTTCTGCACAATTTAAAGTTTGAAGATTCCTGTATTACCTCGGAGTTTTTCTTGGGTTTATTTTCTAGCCCAGTTTTACACGAGCAACAACAGGAAGTGGTTCAGCTAAGCAGAAATGTCATGTACACCAGGATCCTCCTTGCCAGGCCTGCTTTGAAGTTATAGAATCATTATAGATGGGTCAGGATTTCGCCCCTGGAATCCAGAGACAGAATTTGCCAGCGGATTCTCATTGTTACTGGATGGGAGGAAGGCTTCCCCCTGCCCACAGCAGCCTCAGATACAGCTCTCGTGACTCCCAGGGTTTTGCCTGTGTCCCACACTGGCCCTTTTTTGAGTTGTGTCTGGGGTGCTGTTTCCACATCTTGGAGAACAGCCAAGTGAAGTCCCGATGCCAACAGCCACGTGGGGTTCCCACGGGGGGTTGTCTGTAGTCGTCACTGCCAGGTCTTGGGGTTCTCGGGAAGCCCCAGGAGACACTGAGGTTGTATCTTTCACTTTTCTCTTCATGGGCTTTATCCCTTATACGGGACAAAGACCCAGTGAGACTGTTTAGTGGGGGAAGGGCCTTGTTGCCAGGCCTGAGAATCTGAATTTGATTCCCAGCACACACAGTGGGAGGGAGAGTCCAGGCTCCAGCAAGTTGTTTAATAAAATTTAAAGTATTATAAAAGGACACATAGAAAATCTTTGAACAATAGCTTTTAATAAACTGTGTGTATTGTTTCACGTGGCTGTCCTGTTCTGATGTCCTGAAGGAGACAGGGCCCAGAATACAGTGCAGTACAGCACCAGGGTAAGGCCGGGCTCTCGGGCCCAGGTACATCGCAGTACAGGACGTGAGGGCAGTGGCCGGGCTCTCAGGCCCAGATACATCATAGTACAGGACCAGGGCAGTGGCCGGGCTCTTGGGCCCAGGAAGGCTGTTGTGGTCCTTCGCACCATTAATGACAGCCCACTCTGATCTCTGTTTTGCCATGGCTGAAATTGGTGCTGGCAGGGCAGAAAAGCGTCTCTCCGCTGTGACACCTGAGTGTTGTTGCGGTCAGGGCACTCAGGTCCTTACCCGGAAGCACCTGGAAGGGTGGCGGTGATCGGTGCTGCTCTCAGACCACAGGGTTATGTTTTAAAGATGTTCCCAGCTCTGCCGTCCCTTTCAGGACCTCCCAGCGGCCAGCTGTACTCTGAGAAATGACAGAACAAAATTAGACCAAGAAGTAAATTAGGATGTGTGCCCACGCAGTGCCATGCCAGCATCCCATCAGTCAGTGCGTGACAAGTCAGCAGGCCGTCGCTGCCTTTCCCGCCAGACAGGAGGCGGGCGACAGGCAGAGCTGTCTGTGGAGAGCACACTTGCCCTTGTTCTGTGGTTTTGTAACAGTTGAATTAGCTGTTAGTGCGCGTCACTCGGGTGTCCCTTTCACGTGGCCCCAGCAGCTAGCACGGCAGGGACTGCACACGAGGCTCCATAGCTTTGGTCCTCTCCTGGCACCTCTTCCTCAGCTGTGGGTTATGGGTCCCTCCAGTGTCTGTACTGGATGACAGTGATGATGCCTGCACCGGAGGCTGGGCTTCTCTGATGGCTGGATGGTGCTTCTCATCCTTCATCATATGCTCTGAGCTTCATATCAGCGGCTGTCCCCCCCCCCCCGTGTGTGTGTGTGTGTGTGTGTGTGTGTTTGTATGCGCGCATGCTAATGTGAATGCAAGGCTGTGTGGAGGTTAGAGGTCAACTGGGGGTGTCACTTTAGAGGAACCATATATCTTAGTTTTTGAGGTACGGGTCTCTCCAAGCACCTGCCTGTTTCTGTCTCCTCTTCTCTGGGATT